CCTGTGGCCACTGTTGCGTTTTCCAAATTTGCTGGCAAATTGAGTGCAGCACTTTAACAGCATCATCTTTTAAAACTTTGAATAGCTCAGCTGGGATACCATCACCTCCACTAGCTTTGTGTTAGTAATGCTTTCTAAAGCCCATTTGACTTCGGATTCCAAGATGTCTGGCTCAAGGTCAGTGATTACACCGTTGTGGTTGTCAAGGACATTGAGGCCGTTCTTGTATAGTTCTTCTATGTATTCTTGCCATCTTTTCCTAATCTCTTCTGTTTCTGTTAGGTCCTTACCATTTTTGTTCTTTTTCATGGCCAGCTTTGCATGGAACGATCCCTCGATTTCTCCAATTTTCTTGAAGAGATCTCTAGTCCTTCCCATTCTATTGTTTTCCTCTATTACTTTGCGTTGTTCATTCAGGAAAGCCTCCTTATCTCTCCTTGCTGTTCTCTGGAAATCTGCATTCAGTTCACCCCAAACCCTTACTAAATTTGGTCACAATAAATATTTCCCCAGATTAACACTAGTGTCACTGGCCCCAAGGAAGAAATTATATAGTAGAGACTGCTTCCCACTAATGTGTAGAGAGGGCGCATTCAGTTCACCCCAAACCCTTACTAAATCTGGTCACAATAAATATTTCCCCAGATTCACACTAGTGTCACTGGCCCCAATGAAGAAATTATATAGTAGAGACTGCTTCCTACTAATGTGTAGAGAGGGCATAGGATTTCATTTAGCTTCCCCAGTGGTTCCCAGCCTGCCCCAATAATATGTTTATTGGACCTACCTAAAATATTATATGTTGCTTAATTGGTGAAGGTTGACATGACTTCCTCAAATGAACTTTGTAAAAATCCCCCTCCCTTTCGGGGCTTACACCAGTAAAAATTGACCATCACTTTTAGGTGACTTCAAAGTTTACCAGGTTCTCTCTCAATTTTCAGACATCCCCAACACTTGAATGAAACTGTATTGCCTAGTCTAGAACTGTCAATTTTTCCAAAAAACGTGGCAAGCTTTAAAACATAGCCAAAAAACTAGCAAAAATTTCAAAAGTAAAATAACTATCCCCAGTTAATATGGTCTATTCTGAATTTTTCCTAACAGTTTATCGTTTTAAAAATAATTTAGTTCAGAGTATCCATTTTTGTGTTCTTATAAAAACGTTTCTTAATGTATTCTGAGAAAGCAGATTAGATTGTTATGTTTCAAGTAATATAATGTTTTTGGGTACCAAAAGAAGATACAGTTCATCTTTTTCAGTCACTTTTTATACTTTTGTCAAGTCATTATGTTTCCAAAAGGCCTATCGCTGATTGGGAGGTGGGTTATCTGATCAGTAATATACATCTCACAATCTCAGCATGATATTTCTGGTGTGAAGCTTCATCAGCTGAATAGCAGTGTATTGCAGTGTATAATTTTAAGCTGAACAAGTGATTGGTATTACAGTGGGGTGAATTTTGTTGGAATAGGCAGATATAGTGAGCTTCTGTGGCTGTGGAATTCACAGCTAAAGTTTCGTAGCCAAGAGAGGATGAAGAGCCAATCCTGTTAGAATAACATCGGACTAAGTTTTTTAATTTCAAAACCAAGTTGTTTAGCAAATTGACGTATTGAAGAGGAAGATTAGTGTGTGATTTGAGAATTGATGCTTCAGGATTAACTAGATTAAAGAGAAGGCATTACTGTACAGTGGCTAGAGTGTGGGGGAGATCTGAATTCAAAGTTTTCACTCAGACGTGCAGTTGATTGGTTGGTCACTTTTGCCTAGTCTTAAGTTTGTTGTGAGGATAAAATGTTATGATGTATGAAACACTTGGAAAAAGTACGGGATACAAATGTGATGACAGCACAAATATTTATACCATAGAACACAAAGAACTACTACAGCGGGGTTTCTGTGTGCCCATTGGGATTTTGGAATTTTTTGATCTTTGAATACCATCTCACAGTCTTTTTTTTTTTTTTAATGTCCTTGATTTCCATAAGTGGTTAGTCATGATTTGTAGGGCTCCTATTCAAGAAACGAAAGTGATTCTTCTCTACAGATGCCATTGGTTTTGTGGTCCCTTGGATACTGGTTACTACAGTCTGTTGCTACAGAATCGGTGCCAGTTGTGACCTAAAAGATTCTACTATTTATTTCCAGTGCTGAGCAGCAAAGAAAAATGGACATGTTCTCCCTTGTGCCAGGTGTGAAAAATGACGGGGATCATACTTTGCTTTTGTAGGTTTCAAATTCATTAACTGTATTTGATGGAAGAAAATGGAATGTTAAATTGGGAGCTATGCTTTTATAGTAAGGGAGCTGACTGAAGAACAGATCCTTGTAGAACTGTGTTTATGAGAGGGGTACTTTTAAGTGTGACAGAGGTTTTTTTCCTAATGTAATACGAGTTTTATAATGCTACCATCGATTTATTTTTTCCCTCCACACATTCTAAATACAAGTTCATGCACATCTATCTGTGAGCATGTGAAAGAGATCCAGGCAGTGGTGATGGGAATTTGTATTGATCGAAGCATAACTGTTAATTTGTTCAAGACACAGCCTATTACTTGAAATGTGATGATACATAGATGGACAACTTTTTAAGGTAGGACAATGACTTCTCCATCTGAAGTCATTCCTGCCTCCCATTTCCCTATAATGCTTTTGTTTGAACATAGCATTCATTCTAAAAATGTGTTCTGTTTTATTTGAACAGGAGTTAAATAGTTTTAATTATTTGGACCTGTACAAGCTTGCTGACCTGTTTAACCTCACTTTGCTGGAGAAAGCTGTGGTTGACTTTCTAGTGAAACATCTCTCTGAACTGCTGAAAAGTCACCCTGAAGAAGTCTTATCGCTGCCATACTGTCTCATCCGAGAGGTCTTGAAGAGTGACCGCCTCACGTCACTCAGTGAAGAGCAAATCTGGCAGGTAAAGTGCAAACATAATTGGCAGCATGTTTAAATTTTAAGGAAAACTGACATTGTGGCTCCTTAAACTTTGTCAAGAACAGAATTATTAATAGCAAACTGAATGGTGGGAAACAGTAGAGGAGAATCCTTGAGATCTAATCCTTCTGCACCCGTACATAGAAGTGTCTGTGAATGTGTTGATGGGGAAAGGTTTTGTTATGCCCTACAGAGATCATTTTGTGCATGGAAAAGGTTTTTGCCCTTGGCTTTAATAATTTGATATCTGTCGAGTGATTTGAATGCAACCAACTAATTTTAGAGAACACATTCTCCTTTTGGAGTTTGGTGGAGTGGTTAAGTGTGCGGACTCTAATCTGGGAGAACCAGGTTTGATTCCCCACTCCTCCACTTGCAGCTGCTGGATGACCTTGGACAAGCCATAGCTCTGACAAGAGCTGTTCTTGAAAAAGAGCAGTTTCTGTTAAGAGCTCTCTCAGCCCCACCTACCCTCACAGGGTGTCTGTTGTGGGGAGGGGAAGGGAAAGGAGTTTGTAAGCTGCTCTGAGACTCTGAGTGAAGGGCAGGGTGTAAATCCAATCTCCTCCTCCTCCTTTTCTCGCATCATTTGTATGGTCCCAGTAATGTAAGAGAATGTTCTGCTGTCCCTTGGTATTTATTTATTTACTTCATTTATACCTCACCTTTCTCCCCAATGGAGATCCAACGCAGCTTCCATTATTCTCTTCTCCTCCGTTGTGAAGAGGGGTAGGCTAAGAGTGTACGACTGGCCCACCCGGAAAGCTTCCATGGCAGAGTGGGGATTTGAAGCTGGGTTTCCCAGATCCTAGTCTTGACATTCTCTGGCTGACCTGTGAGATTTGATTCTTAGCTGGTCAAGAAATATCTAGGCCAGTATTTGATGCTTGCTTGGCCAATGAAATAACCAAATGAACATATGGAAATGGAAACCAGGAAATTTAGGCTGATAATGAGGCCTGAACAAATGAGTTAACACTCAGTATGCAAATACATATTACTTATTTTTATTCTTCTCCATCATGTAGTAAGATGGAAAGGTGGGTGTTTTGTATCTTTTTAAAACTAGGTGGGGAAACTGTCATTTGAAGAAAATTAATTTTATTGTACTAATAGCAATCAGCTTTAACTGATGGATGAACAAAGCTTTGATTTGGTGTGAGTGTAGTTCCTTGTATTCTTTGCCAACTCTGTGTTAGCCGAATTGCTTTATTTACAGCAATTGGCAATTTATAAATGGGTTCTTGCCAGTTTATACCAAGGTCCTGTTCCCACAAGGGTTACCAGAGAAGGATAACGAGGCTGTTGTTGTTAAAATAAATGTCTTTTACTTAAAGAATAAATCTCATACAAACAATACTGATGCACTCACACATTCAATCAAGTTCCTTAGAATTACAGTATTAAAATAAGCACAGTTGCATTAGCAGGTGGGGGTGATGTTGGGCTATACTTATCTGTCTTCGCAGCTTTGGTTGTTCCAATGAAGAATGGATGGGAAGAAATGGAAACTAAGGGAAATTCACACACAACCAGAACCAACCAGAACGTGTGGGTCTCTTGACTGCAGATCAAGAGATCAAAGTAGAGGCAAGGGTTTGGGGATAGCAAGTGGGACTCAAGAGGAGTAAAAAGCAGACAGGGGTTGTTGCGGGGGATGCTAGCTAGGAAGGGCCAGGTGAATGGTCCTTTCCTTTTATAGGGGATCCATTAGATGCGTGGTAACGGTTCCAACCTGTGGACCCACCTACCTGTTAGTCCGTTCCAAAAACAATCCTATTGGTTGCCTATAGGAGTGGGAGGTTACCTATAAGGAGTGGCCAATATTGTAATCTAAAACCTTACTCAAAGGAGGGCATCTGGGCAGGTGTGAAAACCTTGGCGTCAGGATGCTCCATTGTAGTGTAGATGAAGCTGGCCATTCTCATTGTGAACCAAATGTCCATTTGGCAGGAAATACCAATGCAGGAACAAAGCAGTGATGTGTCGTAGGTGACCACAAATGATTCAGCATTGGGGGCTGTCTCTTCTCAGAGCTGTTGTTTCTCATTGCTCACTATAATGGAGGTGTGTGCTTCTTCACCAGGCTGGTAACTGTGTAGCTGAAACCTCATTCACGTGTAACCTCATTCTATGTGTAGCATCACAACAGGTGACTTATAGTGTACAGTCTTCTGAGCCTATGTCTGTGTGTGCACAGTCCATTGTGTGTAGCAATAAATATAGTCCATAAAGCAAATATTAAGTTCATTCTCTAACATCTGAACACGCATCTTGTTTGGTACCTTGTGAATGGCTAACTTGTATCTGATATGCTTTTGACGTGAAATGAAAATTGACTCTGGCGATTGATCCTTGGTGACCGCTTCACACCTGCAAGTTTGCATGGTGCTATGGCCATGTGTATGTGAAATTACTCTTTACTTTTTGCAAAATAAGGAACCTAATATTGCTTTTTCTAAGAATATTTCTGTCCCTCATAATTCCAGATTAAAGCTTGAAAATAGCTGTCTTTCCCCCCCTTTCCCAGGCTCATAACAGCCCAAGGGGGTTGGTTCCTATTGGCAGAATTGCATGGGGGGAAGAATTAAACCCTTTCACTTGCACCGTAGTGCAAATCCAAAATGGGATCCTGAACAGCCCTTTTTTTCCTTTAAAAATTGGCAAGATATGCTAATTAGTCTCCCAGAATCACATATACTTTGTCCCTCAAAGTTTTGTTTATTCCAATATGCTTCCTGTTCATATGTTGGTAAAAAGCCAGTTGATAGCTCATATCTGTGTTTGTGCATTTGGAAGAGGGAGAAAGTGATAAAGAAATCTGAACTTGTCTTGGTGTAGGAAACACTGGTCATTTTATGCTCCACTTATTGGATGACATTTGCCACAGATGATGGCCTGCTTCCTGGGAAAGTGTGAGTCTTGTGAAGGCTTGTGAAAAGAAACCTTGTTACTCTGTTTAATTTATATTATTCCTGGAATTCTTGTGGTTCAGAGCTGCTTATGATAATAATAGTTTAAAAGCAATGAGAAATCAAATCAAAAAGACCATCTATAGGTCTATACAATCACAACAACTATCTGTGACAATTATAGAAAGGACTACTGTCAAAAGTCCCAGTCCCAACTCCAGGTAAGGACTTTCGTTACAAGGGGAGGGTGCGACAATGCAAAGTTACAAAATACTAGAGAGAGTCTCTCTCTCTCGCCCTAGTTTCTGATCTCTCTCACCAGGCCTTTCAAGTCTATCCCAACGACCCAGGAGTGAAAGGCCAAGTCTCCTGGCTTCCCAGGGAATTAACAAGAAAAGTCAGTCCTGCAGTGCGGGACTGCAGTCTGAGTTTCCAAGACAAAACTGGTAGGCAATCAAAAGCCAAGGGTCTGGATAAAGGCTTTGAGGTGAATGAAGGCAGAAACCACAACAAAGTAAAAATATAATTATTTATTTCAGGTACAAAAATATTTAAAACAAGACTAGACAGTGAAGGAAATAAAACAAATACACCTAAGTTTTTCCAGCATAGCTAATACATAGAAACAATTAGCACTTCCACCAGTAGCACTTCCATTTTTTTTCAGGATTAAGTATCAGCTTGTTAGCCCTCATCCATTCCAAAACTGCTTCTAGGCACCTGTTCATGGTTTCCACAGCCCTCTGTGGTTGCTGGAAGCAAGCATGAGATAAAGCTGAGTGTCATCTACATATTGGTGGCCACTGAGCCCAAATCTCTGGATGACCTTTCCCAGCACCCTTTACATACCATGAAGGACAAGATGGAACCTTGGGGAACCCTGTAGGCCAGGGGCCAAAGGGCAGAGCAGCAGTCCTGCACAACACATTCTGGAACCTGCTCTTAAGATAGTACCAAAATCACCTCAGTCCATCTTAAAGGATCCATGTATGGTGAACGGCTACACATCAAGAATAATTTCTTCAAACAAAATGTAGGCTGTTTGTAACAGGCAGTTGGTGTTCAGTACTCATTCTTGGTGGCCTGTATTGATGTTTTGATGGGATTGAACAATGAATATTTTTATAGTGGTATTTTCAAAATGCACGCCTCCAGGAGCAGAACAAATTGGCCATTTCTTTCTGAAGCAAATCGAGCTCTTGTGGTGTCAGAAGATGTTCCTAACCTATTTTTGTCCTTCAGGACAGGAATAATGTTTTCTAGGTTTCCAGAGAGTAAACACCTCATGAAGGATATGTGACAGTCTACTCTTTCCTGTCACACATGCTGCAGCTACCACTGTGTACAGCAGCGGTTAATGTGCTGCTTTCTGAATAGCAACAAACTCTACACTGCCCATTTTAGGTGTTATAATTGCCTCTCTAACAGTTACTAATGCAGTTACATAGAATATTTAAGCTATTTTACTGCTCTGGGCAAATATATATATTCCTGGTCCTCCAGAATGAATTAAGACACACACAAATATTTTCCAATGTAAACTTTGAGTGGGCAATAAGAAACTGTTTTTGCTTTATCTTAGTAAATAAGTAATTCCTCCATAGTCAACCCAAGACATGAAAATCAAATCTGGCCTGCTCTGTTGCCTCAAGTATAGTTAAGTTCATCATTTTTGCTAAGGTTATACTGGTAATGCAATATACCATGGAAAAATCTAATATTCAGCCCAGGGTGAAGATTGGGGATGCCAGAGGATTAGTGTCAGGGTGCTTTATAGAAGTGAAACTTGATATACCGGCTGGAGACAGAACCATGGAATCTCATTAAATAGCTGAATTGTTCATTGCTGAGCACTCTCCCTTTAATAAAGTGCTCATTGACTTTGACAAATCCCCATCCCATGTCTTAAAGGACAACAACAGAGCAAAATGTACTGGGAATGGAAAAGGAAATTGACCCAAATTGGGGGAAGGGTAGATAATAGAAAAACTGATGAAGAATACTACTCTTTGGTTACTGTAGCACATTAATCATGTGACATTGGCAGTGCCATATGCAGTCCATGTTGCAT